CCACCTCTTGCCCCTAACTTTGCCATTGTCACCCTGACTTACTATCCTTCCTTGTCCTTATCCATTTGTGTCTTGTAGTGTTTGTCTAAATTATATATTTTTTAAAAGATACTTTCTGCCACCTAACCAAATACAAGAAAATCACTTATTTTTCAAAATAAAAATAAAAATTCAGAAGAATATTTTTTCCTTCATACCAAACATCCTTAGAATGCAATTTAATTCATATGAAGCCACGTGAGGCCCTCACAAGTGAAGCAAGGTTCAAGAATACAAGAAAAATATTGTACGAACATATTAATGCTTGTATAACATGGCCCGGGGGTACATAGACGTATGAAAATTAAGGTGTGTTAAGAATGGAAGATGGAAATTTTGTTCTTAGAGCTAACAAAATGATCGTTAGTTGATTTTCATTTTTATATACCAAAAAACACTCTAGGTGATTCTAATACGTGAACCGTGGGGAGGGGGGCACCTTAATATAATTATTAGTATATAATAAACCTTTCGGTCTATTTTAATTGATTTTTTGGTCTTTTTTTGTAGTTCATAATATTTAATTTTTTTTAATATCAAGAAGGAATTAACTTCTTTCTCCAAAATTATTTTTGGAGTAAAGAGTCTAAGAATATTTGTTATATCTCCCATGAACAAATTAAGGTTAATCAATTTTATTATTAATTAATGTTAAAAGTGAATTTTTTAATATGTATGAAAATAATCAAAAATTCAATTAAAGTGGACAAGAGAAAGTAGAAACTAACATTTAATGAACTTAGAATGTTGAAAGCAGTTATGGTGATATTCACCAAGCATTTCGGGCAAGGACGTGTCGCGTCCAAAGCAGCATCCAAAAGTGAGCTGCCAAGCATCAAAGCATGCAAAAGCAGTGAAGTGTAGATGTAGCGCCAACCTTCGTGTCCCGCAATCTATCTGCATAGAATAGGAGAATGCAAATTAATGTGATAATATTAATTATCACAATAAAAAATTAACAAGTATCAAATTTTAAGATAAAATTAATTAGATTAGTTAATAACTAATTGTTCTTTTTTTTTAATTTGAATTAAAAATAATTAAATACCATATATTTTTAAGAAAATTATTATATTATAAAAAATGTTGATAGGTTTTTTTATAAAATAATAAAAGGCTTATCTCTTTATACTTTTGATGTCTCGATACAAATTTCATTTCAAATCGTGATAGCGCCCAACACCCTAGTTAGGCAAGCCAATCCTAACAACTAGTGAGTTCTCAATTATTTTATTTAAACGTTTCCAACATTCACTTAACTTATATTTAAACCAATCGAAAATCAACAATTGCATAACAATAGAAATGCAACCCCAAGATGATAGTCTACAGTGTGTGCCAAGAACTAGTGTCACAAGTACTAGGGCAACTAATAGAATATACAAAATACCGTTATCCTACTGCCTGAAACAGAATAGACAGTACATAACAGCAACAAAAGAAGAGAACTCCGGTATGCTGCTGAACGACTCAGGAGGGACAGCTCACTGTGAGATCTCGATCAGGAATCAGGAACGCGCACCAGAGGGGTAACTAGATGCACCTGCCTCAGATCCTGTACAGTTAAGTACAGAAGCGTAGTATGAGTACATAAACAACATGTACCCAGCAAGTATCTAACATCGAAGAAGTAGTGACGAGGGATCGATTTGACACTTACTAAGGTCAATATCAATAATATATAAGGCTTACACAAAGCATGGTTAACATGATTATAATAACAATCTCAGAATAAAGGAGAAAACGATATATCAATTTCAGTCATGTCATATAACAACTTGTACTTCAAAGCATTTAAACAGAGTAAGTCATGGGCAAATTCCACATAAGTAGCATGCACACATTATGTCGAGGTCATACGACCCGATCCAACATAAAAGTAACTGCGCACTGCCAGAGGGTCGAATGGCGCGAACCATAGATACATCTATTTATATCGAGGCGATCGGCTTGATCCACAAATAGCAATTTTTATGAAGAAGGCACATAACAACACATTTATAGTCAAGTAAATTCATACAAGTTCCCAAGTAAGTGCGTACATTCATTTATATTTATTTTTCAACTCCTAACATGTCCTAAGTGATATCATTAGAAACCAAGAACATAAGCATTTACAAGTATGGCATGATACATGTCCTAAACTACCCGGATATTTAGCATGATAGTAGCTACGCACGGACTCTCGTCACCACGTGCGTACGTAGCCCCCACAGACAATCACATACATTTATTTAATTTACCTAGGGGTTTATTTCCTTCTTACGAGGTTAGAAAGGAGATTCACCTTGCTCCAAAGCTTAGTTTCATGTGTTCAATTAATCAATTGTTAGGCTTGATTTGGTTATAGCTGATATGGTTTGTAGTACAGATTGAAAGGGATCGGGGTAGGATGGTAATTTCAGTAGTTTCAGGGGTATTTTGGGATTTAAAGTCTTAAAAAATGATTAATTTGAGTGCTTTGTCCACTAAGCACTAATAATATTAAAATAATACATTGTTTAATACATAGTGGGGGACAAGACATGTGGTAGTGAGAACTAATACATTTGTTTAATATAGTGGGGGACAAGACATTTGCTAGTGGGGAACAAGGCAGAGTGGGAAACAAGGCATGCAAGTGTGGGGAACAAAACATAATGGTATGAAAAGCTTAAAAAGGATTGATTAAAATATGTTGCCCATACCTGTTTTGGGTTATAAATAGGTTCGTTTCAAGACAGAAAGGGGGGGCTGGTTTTTGGCAGAGGACAAATAATTGGTTTTCTCTTCCAGTTTTTCTTAGAGTCTAGGCTGGATTTTTAACATAAAAAGTTCAGTAATTCGAGAGTAAAAAACAGGCTGGTTTTTAATCCAAAAGGTTCAGTGTTTGGAGAGCTAAGAAACTGAAAAGTGGGTCTCTTCTTTTACTGCTGAATATCAGAACTAGTATTGTTGCTGTTTCATTGGTGTGCTGTTTGGTATTTCTGGGGTTTCAATTGGTTCTTCCTGAGTTTGCTATTGGTTATTGGCTACTGTTCTCATTGAGTGTTGCTGGAACTCTGTTGGTTCCTTCTTTTTTTAATCTGCCACTGGGTTGTTCTGTCACTGCATTGCTGTGTTATTACTGTTGCTGACTACTCCTTCATCTTCTTGTGTTTCCGTTATCCAGGTACATGTTCTACAGCTCTCAAATTTAAAGGAAAGGAAGTAAAGAGTTGTTGGAATGGATTTCTGAAAATAACTATTTCTTTGTGATTAATTTGATGTATAAACAGTAGTTCACTTGATATTTCATAGTATGTATTGGAATGATTTTGAAATGCATAAACTGGACTAATTGAATCTATTTCTACAAACATGGAATATCAATTGTAGTTAATCTTAGTTGGTGATTACTAGTTATGAAATATACTGTATTCAATTCTTTTGTTTAGTAGTCGTGAAACAGTGTCAAATAGTTTTATGTCACAAAACAAGTTCAAATAGTTTATGGAAATCATCATGTTAGTTTAATAGGTCTAATTCTGAAATCGCGAGTTCACTTGAGTAAATAACATCATTTTAAATAGCAATGTAAATAAGGTTATTAACTAATGTTAGTTCTCGAATGTTAGTGATTAATGTTAGCTTGATGTCAGTTTTAAGCATTGATGCATTTTTCAACAAATCGTAAAAAGAGCTCAAAAATGGCTTTATATTCCACATAGTTAACTCCAATAATCCAATTCATATAATAAAGCTAAAGTTGAACTGGTTCGAAATGGTAGCTGGTTTGTTAATATTTACAACGGCAGGCGGCAGATCTTAAGTTAGATAGCGGGTTCAAACTAGAAGGTGTTTCCTTTTGTTTGGACCCAGACTTGAAATTGAAGCTCGAACTTTTGGTGAGAGATTGACTGGGGCAGCTTTGGAATGGCATAATCGTTAAGATGTTGGTAAGTGGCCTACATTGGGTGACATGGCTCAAGATTTTATTCGATATTTTCAATACAAATCAGGCGTTACCTCAGACCGCTCTTCCATATCTAGAATGGAAAAGAAGTCGGAGGAAAGTTTTAGGGAGTTTGGGCTTAGATGGAGGGAGCAAACTGCTCAAGTCTGTACCCCGATTGGTGAAAAAGAAATGGTTGAGCTTTTCTTACAAGCCTAGGGGCCCACCTACTTCAGTCATTTGATCCCGGTCTTGGGTAAGCCTTTCAATGATGTGTTAAAAATGGGGGAGATGGTAGAAGAGGGAATCAAGTCAGGCAAAATCATGAGTTATTCGGCATTGAAAGATACTACGAAAAACATTCAG